GTGCCCATGCCCACCTCCTGGTGACCTGCCCACCTCCTGGTGACCCTGCCCACCTCCTGGTGCCCTGCCCACCTCCTGGTGCCCATGCCCACCTCCTGGTGCCCATCCCACCTCGTGGTGCCATGCCCACCTCCTGGTGCCCATGCCCACCTCCTGGTGCCCTACCCACCTCCTGGTGCCCTACCCACCTCCTGGTGACCTGCCCACCTCCTGGTGACCTACCCACCTCCTGGTGTCCATGCCCACCTCCTGGCGCCCATACCCATCTCCTGGTGCCATGCCCACCTTGAGTCTCCAGTTATGGGTGCTGCTGAGGTGACGTGCTCACCCCTCCACTGAGCAGGTCCCCTGCAGCTGGGGCGTGGGTGGAGCAGCAGGTTGTCTTGGCCTTGTCCAGCTGGCTGTCCTCGTGGGGGCTGAGTCTTGAGTGGTGTGAAGGCCGGCTGTCCTTCCCTCATCACTCATCAGCAGGAGGGCCCAGACGGGCGCCACTGGACCAGGAATGGGCAGCTGAGCCATGCTGGGCTGCCATTATTTCAGGATGCTCACCTGCTGGGCTGAGGGACGGAGCCCAGGACTGGGAGGGTGAGTGAGCCGCGCGAGGCACACACCTGCCCAGCTCTGAGCTCACTGTCCATCCACGCTCGGGCTCCTTTAATGTCCTCGTGAGATGCGGTGCCCGCCCCCACCATTTGCAGCACGTCCACTCTTGGTAATCCAGAGACGAGAGCCCAGGCAACAGAGGCAGGTTCCAAGTCCTCCTCAGGCCCCTCTGGGCTGGAGGTTCCTCTTAGAGAAACCTGTCTCTAGCTGCACAAGACCTACTGTATAGCTATGGTCAGTGACGTATTTTCTAAAATCCTCACCTATCAAAGGATTCTTTTGCCATTTGTGTATAATATGGTCTCAGTTTAAATTTCATTCATTTCCTAGTTCATTCATTCTTTGTCTCATTTATCCAGTATTTCATCGACTAAGTATTTTTTGGGTCTATTATGTGTCAAGTGCTGGGAATGGCAAGGCGGCGGCCTCTGGAGCAGCTCTGTGGCTAGAAGGCACGAATTACAGAGCATCCTGCAGTCGGGCGAGGTCTGCGGTGGAACATGGCCTCCTCAAGGCCGTGTGAGTCCTCAGCCTCAGTTCTGCTGGAGCTTAGGGGAGAGTCAAGGTGGGGAAGTCAAGGCCTCAGAGGCAGAATGAGAGAAAGGACCAGAAGGAGCTGCTCAGGGCCCCACTCCAGGTGGCCTTGGAGGACATGGGGACCCTGTAACCAGGGTCCTTGCATCTGTAAATCCAATCAACCACAGGTTAAACATTTTTGGTAAAAGATTGCATCTCTGCTGAACACCTGCAGACATTTTCCCTGTCATTATTCCTAATCAATACAGCCCAACAGCTATGCACCCGGCATTTACCTTGTGTCAGCGCTTCTGTGTCACTGGAGATGGGTCGGGAGCACAGGAGTGCATGCTCGGGTCACGTGCACACAGCATGCCTTTTCTGCAGATTCTGGTAGGGGTAAGGGTTCTGGAACCAGCTTTGGGGATGCTGACGGGCACCGTGGAGGACAAAACGGTGTCCACAGGGTCTGACTCTCTCCTTGGTCCCAGGCATCCTCTGAGGGCCTTGGAGTTTTAGTTCCTGGATACAGGGCAACTGCCACATTCCAGTTCCAGGCCCAGCCTCAGAACTCCCGCCTTCTGCCTCTGGTCCCTGTCATTGCCATGAGAAAAACAGGCCGGGCCACCAGAACAAAGCACCGCCCTCAGGGACTCGAAACAACCGTCATTTGTCCTTCCCCAGTTCTGGAGGAGGAAGTCTAAATCAGGGAGGCTGACAGTGACTCTCACTCCAGGGACCCGTCTCTCTCTTCCAGTGTCCCTGCACGCCTGTGCCCTCACGGTGTGTGCCCCAGGGTCCCTCCTCTCACAAGGACACCCGTCCTCATGGAGAAGGCTTGGCCCCGATGGCCTCGTCTCGCACAGTGACATCTGCAAAGACCTTATTTCAAATACTGTCATGTTCACAGGGACCGAGGGCCAGGACTTCAGCGTGTCCTCTCACAGTTGAGTCATGGCAGTTATCTCCCTGATTCAAGGAGAACAGGGTCACCTTGTGTGAGCTGCAGCCTGACCGAGCTGCCCAGCAGCCGGGACTCACTCTGCATACCCCTGAGCTCAGGCAGCTCCTGAGGCTGCATGGCTGTGGCCACTGAAGGCGGCTGAAACCCAGGGCACCAGCCTCCAGAGGCCCGTAGCACCCTGGGCAGCACTGCAAAGTCATCCTGTGGTACCTCGGCAGGTCACAACCACAGGGGAGACCAACCGTAGGAGGCTGCCCATGTCAGTGGAAGGGACGGGACCCCCAAGTGTCTGTGACATGGGTGTGGCCTTCCAGCCTCCAGGGTGCAGTGCAGGCAGGGGTTGGGGGGATGGAGCCAGCCTTGGAGCAGCTGGGCACTCTGGCGGGTGGGGGACTCACAGGTTTAGAGTCGTCAATGCTGCGAGGAAGGGGAGCCTGGCCTTCACAAGGTCCCTGCCCCTCTAGGAGAATGCGCTGGCCTGGAGTGACTGCAGGGAAGCCTGCCCCTCCCAGCTCCTCCGGCACCAGATAATGATGGCAGTTTTGCCCTGGAGACGGTGAAGCTCTACACAGATACAAGTCTTACCGCCAGCGCAGGCTGGGCTCTCTAGAATGCAGGTCCCCGGTGCCTGTAGCAGCAGCTGTCAGCAGTGGTGTAGGTGGATTGATGGAGCCCTGGGGTGGGAGATGGTGGCAGCCTTAGGAAAGGGAGGGGACAAAAGTCCCAAACCACATTGACACTGGCTTTACGGTTTTGTTCAGAGAGGCCCCTATCTCCAGATCCCCCTCAGAACCACAAAGGGTGGCGTCTGAGCCTGTGGGATACAGAAATCCTGAAATCATCCGCTCCCTAGCAAGGGTCCTCGAGCACCTGCTGCTGTGCTGGCCACACGGTGCGGGCAGCTGGCCAGGCCCCTGCACCAGTACACTTGGGGACAGGGTGAGGGTGGGGTCCCAAAGCCTTCCGAGGGCATTTAGGAGCCTCTGTGGACAGCGGGGACGATGTGGTAAGGGCAGGCAGCACCAGAATAGTGCAGAAACTGCTCCCTGACCCAGGGCCGGCACTCAGGGAGCCGTGGGCCTGTCCACGGCAGGAGGAGAGCCAGGCTGGGGGCCCAGGGACGGTTCCTGGGCAGCTGGTGTGCAAGC